TATATACTTGTGATGTAGAACTATAAGGCACATTTAACAGAGTATCAACATTCACCCCAACTTCAGTTAACATGTCGGAGGGCCTTAGGCATGACATAATAGGAAGATAATGACATAAAACACTGCATGCCTATTTAATATGCGACAATTTTCTGCCATTTACAGCCTCTTTGCTGATTTGAGAACCGTTGACAATGAACAGCCTCTTAGCTGATTTAAGAACCTGTTTCGACAATGAACAACATAAAACAATCTTCAAGAGTGAGATACTAGCGTACCTAATAAATACATCGATACTAACAATGTTTATGCGAGTAAAACTGGCTATGCTATCTCCATTGTATCAATGATTGCCAATACAGAAACATATCAACGATAAATAATTAAATGTTACCAAAGTCAACGAGGACTTGAGGTCTTGAGGAGAGCAAACATGTAAACAATTGCATGAATTATCACAAGAGAAACACCATATCATATAGCTTGGCCCTAATACAAAGTTTTGACAAACAAAATCTAACCATCTCCAGTGTAACTTTAATATACGCCAAAAGGGAAACGATAGTTGTAGCATATAATTTTGTGCTAGAAAGAACCAGTTAGAAGTATGCCACGCTACTTATTCAGCATCTTGGAGGGAATCTAGATAACGCGGAGTGTCCAGCGAGGAAAACATTGCAACAAAGCAAATAAATGTTGTATCCTGCCTCTTTTGATCTCCATCTCTGTTTATTTAAGACTAAATGAACAGAAGAACCTTTAAGGACCATGACACTAACCAACTAAACAAATACAGACACCTCAATAACTTTAAAAACATGGAGAAAATGCCATGAAAGCAATTCAAATTGATGCCACATCCCAATAACTTTAAAAACATGGAGAAAATGCCACGAAAGCAATTCAAATTGATGCCACATCCCGCCAATTTCGACCTGTGCCTTCTGCTTATTTAAGGCTACTAAACGACTCGAGACACCTTTACAAACTAAGACACTAACTAAGCAAACAAAAAATGACATCTCAGTAACTTTTATGGGTGCTTGCTTTCACTTGGAAAGAAACCTAGTACGTGACAAGGATGACCTAGCTATCCAATTCAGTTGGTCAGCTTGCTGCAACCCTATCCGATAAGCTGCCTTTCACTATCCCGATGATTCCAGACCACGTCTCAAGTAGTTGGCAAGACTCACAGGTGGCTATGCTTCTTCTTTTTTTCATTTCGATGCACACAATACCAAAAGTCATTAAGCATTATGCGGCTTTTCATTTTACAATCAATATAGATCACAAAAAGTAACAGCCATCTCACCTGCAACCCTACCAACCAAGCAACTACCAAGTGCAGTCCTAGCTAGTAGTGTCAGAATGCGAGGACGGTGGCAATGGAAGAAGGGGGGAAAAAAGGCGTCACCTTTTGGCGCGCTTGGGGTCGATGGCAGCGAGCTCAGCGAGCTGCTCGGAAGACAGAGCCTTCTTGGCCTCCATCACCTCTCCGAACAGGCCTCCGCCGCCGTCCTGCTGCCCGCCCGGGCCGCCGGCGCCGGCCCCCATCCCGAAGCCGTCGAAGGAGGCGCTGTGGCGGTGCTTGGCTGGGCGCGGCGGCGAGGAGGTCTCGGCGGCGCGGTCACGGTCGGCGCCGGCGATCTTGTCCATGTCCATGAAGGTGGAGAAGAGGTCGTCCTCGGAGCCGATCTCGTCGAAGCCGCCGCCCCCGCCGCCGGCCAGGTCGTCCGGGAAGCGGAAGGCCACCTCAGATCTGGCGCGGCGGTGGTGGCCCACGCGCGGCGGGGGCAGCCCTGCGCCCGGCTGCGGCGGCGGCGGCGCAGGCGCCCCGCCCGGGACCGGCGGCAGCGGGCAGGGCAGGTTGAGGTTGGGGCTACGCGCCGGCGAGCGCTGCGGCGGGTCGCCGGGCTTCGGCGGCATCGCCATTGCGACGGGCAGGTCTGCTCCTCTCTGTCTGTCTCTCTCTGGTCGGCTGGGCTGCGCGTAGTTTAGTTGTCTGGGTCGGGGCTCGGGAAGCGCACGCGGCTACTCCTACTCTTGGCTAGCTGCTCTGCTAGCTACTGGACAGTGGCGTCTTGGGTTCCGAAAGAGAGTGGAGTGCGTGTGGGATCTGGGAACGAAGGAGGTGGGGTGGGGTGGGCCCCTCGTAGTCATGTGATCGCTGCCTTGTTTCGGGCTTCAGTGGGCTGGACACATCTTGGGTCGCTTCAAGCAGAGTTTGAGCAGATAAATGGGCTGGATGGAAGTCCTTAATGTGGTGGATGGTGCAATGTTGCTCAGAGACCTTGGAACACTAACGAGAACAGGCTCTGCTCAAAAAAAAAAAAACTAACGAGAACAGGCTATCACCGCCGGAAGGGACTTTGCTCTTTCCCAGCATGATTAATAAAGAGCGGTGATGCTTTTTTTCTAAAAAAAACTAATAGGAACAGGCTACCATCGATTATTTTGAAAATTTTAAAATAGTTGAGTTATATTAGGAGTACAATGGTTTGTTTATACGAGTGAAAATACATCAAAGTATAACATGGAAGAAACTAGAAAGAAAGAAATGCTCAGGCGAACCTAGCAAAAACATAATAATTAATTTTCTCTTCTCTTCTATCTTCTACACCTAAAAAGGGTGAAAGGATATCCTCTGCCCAGCGAAGGATCGCCCGGACCTGCATGTTTCTTCGTCGCCGACTAGTGGACCCTCCACAGACAAACATACTACACGCATGATTGCCCCGTCCTCCTCACTCGCTATCGCTTTGCCTTGTATAAATCAATCAATCTCCAAGAACCATGCCTGATCAATATTCAATCACTAGTACTTGTTTCCCTTCCTCAAGCAGCAGCCCTCGCTTTCAAACCCATTGCCTGTGTCACATTGAGAGTTTCTTCCGTCCTTTTTTTTTTTTACTTTCCCAAGCTACACCCACGCCCTCTGTTCTCGTACATGACCCGTACACATGACTCATGCTCATACAAGTTAGAACAACTCGCGTCTAGCGATGATAAATACGACGTCTGGTTCCCATACGTATCGTGTCACACCTTATGTATCTCGTAGGTGACCCGGACTCATGATCCAAGCTCATACGAGTTCAAACAACTTGTATGTAACGATGATACGGAGTTTGATTCGACGATTCCTATAATTATCGAGTTCCGTTATAATGCACGGGCACGTTTGTTAGTCTTTAAAAATGATAAGGGCGGACAACAATGCTACTCCCCCGTTCCAAACTATAAGTCACTTTGACTTTTTTGGTACATCCACTTTGCTGTGCATCTAGATAAATAATATGCCTAGATACATAGCAAAATGGATGAACTAAAAAAGTCAAAGCGACTTATAATTTAGAATGGAGTGAGTACTATAGTATCGCTGCTGTTTTTTTTTTTTTGCTGCTTTCGTAGTTGCCGGAAGCCCAGACTATGTGGTATGGATCAACAACTACCCCAATCGAATTATTTGGGCCTACTCATTATCAGTGGGATCAGGGATACTTTCAGCAAGAAATATATCGAAGAGTTAGCGATGGGTTAGCCAAAAATCTTAGTTTATCAGAAGCTTGGTCTAAAATTCCCGAAAAAATAGCCTTTTTATGATTATATTGGTAATAATCCGGCAAAGGGGGTTTCTACAAAGAAGCTAAATAGACTTAAAAAATTACCTTGCAACAGAAGTATTTTTTAGTAGTCCACTTTGACTAATAGATCCCAGATCTTCAATTATCAGCAAAAGAAATACAAGTAAAGCAGTACCGAGTGGTACGCAAAGTTGTATTTGTAATTTAAAATACTTATCGTAGCTAGCAAATCCTCTTATGCTTTTCGTAGGCAACTCTAGAACTAAAAACCTCATATTTAAGTACTATATAAGAAAATCTTATTTATTCTCCAACTAATATATCAACATGCTGATGTGAATATATGATGCTGCTTTGGTGACAAGTAGTTCTCAGCATTTTCACACATCCAAATGTCTAAGAAATTGTTGTTGCATCCTCTGTTGGGCTAGCCCAGCCGCAATTGTTGTGCGAAGCGAGTGACACCCTTACAGAGTAACGGGCCAGGCCAGTTTTGCGCAGCGTCGCCGCGCGTGTTACTTTCAGTTCGGGGCATTGCATTAGTACCACCTCGCTGCTCTAGCTATGTTGCGGTTCAATGGAGAAGCATATAAGGAGGACCAGGCCTACACTGCGAAGGCACGCAGCTGCGCGGTGAGCACAAAGCGAACTATTCTTTCGCCTTTTACTAAAGAATACCGTGTGCACGCCGCAAATAGCAGCATACGCTAATTTTTGGAGGGGATTTTCCTTTGTGGAAGGCCCCCACAATTCAAATTAAATTCTTTTTTAAAATAATTATATAATATATATAAAATAAAATTGAATTTGCCAATTGAAATCTAAGTTATTTTTTGAAAATGATAAATTGAAATTGTCATGGTTCTCTTTTGAAAGTTATCCGTTTTTCAAGTGTATTGTGTCCCAAACCCTGATATGTACAGTACATTTATAACCTTCTGTAGGCAATGCAAGATTGATACTTTCAGCATCAGTAAAAAGGACCTAGGAACGCAGGATGTTTTTTTCTGTGAAATGAACTGATTCCTATAAAATCAATGACTCTGTGAAATTCCTGTTTTCCAAAAGGGCCTTTAGATGGGATGTACAGTACAAATCAAGTATATGTGGGCTATTGAAGCCAAAGGTTTAAGCGTTATTTGATTACAACACCAACCAACACAAGAGCATCCTGGTTACAGAACTTTTACAACATACAACCTGGGGTTTGGTTACACAGCCTCATACGTACACGTAAGTTACTCCAGCCCCCACAGTAGAAGCAACTCCATGAAACCCAAACCCTACAGAAATTTGATTTAGAACTTTCACATCAAAACTCACCAGCTTTTCCTGAAAAAAACCAAGAGGAGCCGATAAGATACACACGTCAAAGCACACTGACAACACCCATCAGTCACAGACGCACGCACGCCGTCAAGTAGCAGCAGCAGCAGCATCGTCGGCAGCCTTGTCCTGCTGGTTCTCGCCAGCCTCGTCGATGGCCATGGCGTCCGGTTCCCGCTCTGCTGATGCTGATGCTGATGCGACGCGGCCCTCGTTGGACGTCCGCTCCTCACTCTCCACCGGAGCCGGTGGGACCGTGGTCGTGCTGGAGCTGCCACCACCTTGCTCCCCCACCAGGCTCGTCAGGCCGTTCTGCTTCATGTAGTTATCAAGGGGCCGGCTCGCCACTTCCAGGAGGTCCATTATGCTCACCGGCCGGGACTGCTGCGCGCCATGCTGTCCTTGGTCGCCACGGACGGCAGGGGCAGGGTGGAAGTTGAGGTCTATGTGCCCCTTGTTCATGTCGGCCACCTTGTCGAACATGGTCACATCACTGTTGTCTCGGGTGGTGTCCAGCGTCTGCGGGGGGATCTTGACAGGTTGCTCCCCTCAGGTTCTTCTCTGTTCACCCATGCGATCTTCTTGCTCGCCTCTGCCTCCTCTCGCTCCGACTGCCGCTGCTTCTTCCTCATCCTCAGTGTCTTGAACCGACGCTTGACCATCATGCACACGTTGCAGGTGCACGCAGGGTTGTGCTTGGGCCCTTGCCGCTGGGCGGCTGGATGCACAATGCATGTGCAGCCAGGGCGATGCCGGGGTGCTTTGTGGTTGTCGCGACTGAAGCGGTACCTTGGTTCCCGACTTCACCAAATACTGCGGCACTGGCCAAGGCGTCAAGGCTGGATGCATCCATTTCAGCGACATTCAGCTTCAGACCATAGCTGCCCTTTCGCCTCCTCATCTCTGCGATGTACATTGTATGAGCAAAAGGTGCAGTATGAGCTTCTCCTCTACAAAGCTGACTTATCAAAATACATAACCAAAATATATCTGCCTCACTTCCTCATTAGTCATTACTAACCAATCAACTGTTACATTGATATCCCGATACCCTTCCTTACACGACACGTCTTCAGCATCTTGAAATTTTGTTATAAAAAGAAAAGGCTGACCCTAGGGGAAAGACCTCCCCTGAGGCATTGCAGAAATTTCCTCGAACTGAAGGGTTAAGAAAAGATACCGAAAGCTGGCTACCCCGGATGTGTATCTCTGAAGAGTTACACAGAAAGGGGCCTTTTTTGCATGCAAGCCAGGCTTGAACCCTGACCAGCAGCCTCCCAACTGGAGGTCCTACCACTGTGTTATCACTGTGTTTAAAATTTTGTTTTCAAGGTCAGTAAACAGTAAATCGTACCTTCATACAGCTGCATAACACTTTGCAACTCTTTTGGGGTCAACTCTTCAGGCGCAGAGCAGGAGCAGCTGGAACAGTTGAATTTAAAGTATAATGAGAATTAGTAGGAGTAACAAAAGTAAGAATAGAGCAGTCCAGCAAGGGAGTAAGGGACAGTGTCACAGACAAATAGCCTCCAGCAAGAGATAGTGTCACCCTCTTAATGAAATTCGTACATGCCTAGGTACGGTCTTGAAAAAAACAAGGGACAGCGTCACAGACAATTGGCCTTATGCCAGCAAGTTTTTCAATACGAATTGTTGAGAGTGATACGAGAGAAAAGAGCATCTTTCAAAGTACATGGATAAATCTAGCAAATCCAGGATCTTGTGACTGAAATTCTGGATTGACCAAGACTGCGGATAAGACAAGACTGTAGCATGAAATGAAACAGATCAGATGAAGACCATATAAATTCATTGTTCCACACCAATAAGATTATCATGCCAAAGTTTCGGAATTTTAAAACTAAAGATTGATCGGATCACACATCGCCCAACACATCAACAGAGAACACAATATAGCATTACCATTTTGGGTCCCATGAGTTATCGATGCATGTCCATTTGGATGCAACAATAACATTAAGAGGCAGCCGACGCCATTTTGAGCACTCATCACATTGAATCCACTGATCTTGTTCCCTACAAATAAAAAATCAGAAATTTGACATAATTGGCACATTGACGCCAAGTCGTCAATGATGCACATGACTTCCATTTAGACAACAAACCCTCAAACAGTATGACGACTACACAGTTAATGCAATAGGTGAATGAATGTCACCACTTTTTCAATTGTTCTTTTTCATTTCGACCTCTTAAAGCATTATGACATTTCTTTTTCATGCAAGGTCTATAAAATTCAATCTCAGGCATTGTCCTAGAATTAGATGTGTCTCGCTTAGATTGTCCTAGAATTGGAAGAAGATCACAAGACATAAGTAATTTCAGGGTTTTTTTATGTTAGGGGAAAGGTATTTAAAATGTGTTATGAAAAAGTACAACTCATCATGGATACTATTCATAATCACTCAAAAGTAAACAAAAAATAATAATACTGTATCTTTTTTCCGATCATTTACATACCCTGTTGCACGGATGGTGAAAATTGATCTCTTTGCAAAGACAGGGGGTTCCTGCATGTATGTACTATGGTTAGAGCAGGTTGAAGATCATTCAAGTATTTTTGCGATGAACAAAGATCAGATTTTTGTGCCTGGCAGAGAGGTGCTCCATGATTTGGAACAAGAACAATGAAATGAACAGCAAACTTACATCATATTCTTCAAATTCATAGTCCTCAATCATCACAACAGTTGGCTTTGCAGTGGGAGCAGGGCGCAACAACTCTTGAGCCTCTTCCCAGGTAAGCTTTAGTTCCATGGCATCTTCAGCATCGATTAAGAACCTCCTGCTTTTGGAACCAATATTGCGACTACGTTTTTGTAAAAATTGCAAAGACCCCTCATCTGGCCTGCTGCCAAATTTATCTGCCTTATTCCAACTGACATCCCCATCAGCTGAGTTCATATGATGATCATATACAGAGCTTGGATGGAGATCTGCAGCTCCCTTTACTGAGTGAAGAAATCCAGGATAACCACTTACTACTCCTATGTTCTCATTTGCAGTAGAAAAGAGTGTCTCACTGAGAAGGGAACCATTTGCAATAGCTGAAATATGTGAGTCCTGTGTAAAGGTAATAAACAAATATTGAAGCAAAAACATGAAAAAGGAGATGAAAAACAAGCACTTGCCACAACAACAGATTATCTGATGGATAATCTAACTTACTGGCAGACTAACAGTATTAGTGGCCTTCCGAAAGCCCATAACAAGTTTCCCTCCAGGATCTATACGACTAAAGGTCACTGCAGAAAATAACCACACAAAAAAATGATTCCAGTAAACAACATTCAGAGAGCATGATACATGACATAATACTATTCGGCATAATTTACTATAGCATGGATGCCATGGAAACCATGTGACAAATAGTAGTGAGCTATACCATATACGTAGTATTAAAAACAAACTTCAATCAAGAAAGAAGTGAAGTGCATGCTTGCAAATAGATGCTTATGATCATGTCCAAGGAAATAAATTCCTAATTACCTGTATCGCCAGCTTGTAATTGCAAAGACTGTATGCATGGTGTAACACCCTCCAAGACATACATTCTGCTGTTATTATTTGGCCAAAACCTAAACTGAAAATGCCATTCTTTTCCTCTTGCATCTTGAATTGTCAAGGGGCGACCTTCTGGTTGAGAAATTGGGGGGAAATATGCCTACACAGAGAACCTTGTTAACTCAGGATGACAGAAACAATGGGGAAAGAATGCATACAGAAGCAGCTTCTGCACTAGCAGTAAATTTCGTGAACAGAAGCAGTAGACCACAACAATGAAAAGATGCACATTGATTAATTATTTACACGAGACTATGAGAGTATCCATGGACATATACTATAGGAACTCGAATAAGATCATTGCAGTGCTACCATAGATATGATAGTGGTTCACCATTAGGATGCATTTAGGTTGAACAGTAAGTGCAAGACATTACATAGATCAGTTTTTCCAATGTTAACGTATACGCAATGTACAGGATGACGATCCCCTTCGTATATGGTTTCTCATACATGGATGGTATATATGTTGATCCTATTGATCCAGGACAATACCATGTTTATTTTTGTAAAATCTGGACAGGAAAGTCAAATGCTTTTGATGTTCCTTCCAAACAACTTTTGGAAGATAAATCAGCAATATATAATAAAAAACATACTTAAATTATTAAAAGGAAGCCAAACAAATGTTAAAGTTACCTCAGCACAAGCTTTTGGAAGAACAAGGCGCCCTATGCGTCCTGCATCACTCGCACTCAGGACCTTCTCGAACAATGGAACGATTGTGGAATTTGAACTTGCAAATTATAGTCAAGGAAGATAAAAGAAAACCTACATCTGTCACAAAAGGAATTTATGCAGCATATTACACGGGTTTAAGCCTAATGAGCTATTCTGGAGCCTTGTATTTATAAGTTACTAAATGTCAGAGATCAATGTCACCAGGAAGTCGACAATTTCAAATGTATGAAGGCAAGGATACTCTCCAGATATTTGTTGCAGCTCTTGGTCTGTTATTCTTGGCCAATACCGAGGAAGTAATTGATTGCGGCCCCTTCCCTCAGCAGGTGGTCTAGCAACACGAAGATGCGGAAACATGTCTCTCGTTGGATCAAAAGCAGCACCTTCACCAACCCTTGGTGGTCTGGTCAGGAAATGCCGAGCCCTCTGTGCTTGCTGAAAGGGAGATAGTGTAGTGGCAAGTTCTCGTCCTTCAGCAATGGCTGTTGTTGGCGATAGAATAGGTCTTTCCGCTGTTGAAGTAGCCTCCATCCTGTTTCCATTGCTTGCAATACCTAGGCTCATGCTCAGACATGCCTCTGAAAACGATTCACTTGTTGTGCTATCTGTAGTTGGATCCTTATTGTCATCTCTTCGAGTACATTGAGGTGACTCTAATGCACTTCGAGACCTAGTTAGGAAAGGCCTTCCCATGTCCCCAATACTAAGGGTTGGTTGTTCCCATTTAATCTGCCTTGAACCATTCTCTATCTCTTTTTGTCTCAAGATGTTACTGCTTTGTCCAGCCTCTATGCCTTTCACCATGAACAGGTGATTGCTCTTATTTACAATAGCAATATCATCATTTCTGGAATCCAACATAAGAGAGGGTGGCTGTTCAAATTTTCTACTTGACAATAACTCGTCGGTTTTATCGAAAAACCGCAGATTATTTGGACATGGAAAAAGCTTCGGAACCACTTGGCCAGAAGCCTGTAAAAAGTACAATCAGAATATTTGAAAAGGGAAGGTGGATAATGTGACCAAAAAAAGAACTTACAGACTGAGCTGCTGAATTTTTCATGCACGTGACACATTGAACTCCTCCACTGTCAAGTAGATCATAAGAGTTCTTTGAAGCAACACATCCACAATGGAGGCGCTGAAACAGTAGAATTTCATAAGAATACTGTTGCATTACAGTTCAGCCCAAGAATTTGCAGAATCGATTCCTCTGCAGTCGACCGCATGGTGTACTTGTCACTGGCAGGTGGGCCTGATGACCTGCCAGTGACAAAGTCACTAGACACCAGGGACTCGACTACACTCAACTGCAGAGGATCTCATCATAGAATTTGCATGTATTTGCGGCTTGGGTCGCCACCTCACCTTCCCACAAAATGAGCAGTCTCTCCATCCTGATTCCTTTTGGTGAAATATATCACAAAACACAAACTGTTCATATAACAACCTAGGCACACCAGAAACCACACAATAGAAATTAGAAACGGGCCAATCTAGTAGGAATTAAACAATAATAAGGCTTTCCTAAGAGAGAGAGAGAGAGAGAAAAAAGGATGAAGCAAAGCAAAAACGATGAACGGAATCCTTAAAAGAAACAAATTCTTATCTTATTGTTAAAAAAGAAACATGTACTTCCTATAATCAAATTAAATGGTGAACAGAGCATGTAGTTCCTGCAAAAACAATATCATCGTTAAAGGTGGACTTTTTTTTGATTCGTTAAAGGTAGACTGTTGGTACCAAGCAACAATTTTGATCCAATCCCATAGCACAAAGTAGGTGAGGCAAATAGTCAGTCGCCTCTACCGAACAGAGGTAAGGCTCATCCCTGACACCAACCCGATCAGAACTCAGAACTCAGAACTCATTGGGGGCAAATCCACAGTGACTGATGCAAATGTCAGTGCACTTCTCGTTTTCAGTGACGAACCTACGAGAGTCCGAGCAGCTGAACACTGACGAAATTCTCAATAGCTAGAGGGTGGTGAATCAACAACTGCTACCAAATCGCTTCGTCAGAATTCTACGACCCACCCAGGCACTCTTCCAGCCGTCGAGGCATAGTCAACGCAACTTTCCGGAGTCTCTACACGTTCCAGCTCAGCACGGTTTCCGCATAAATCCGCTCGTTTGTTGGGTTTCGCTAGGGAATCCACTACGACGACGAATGATGCGCAAATCGCCGCACCTTTATACAGCATCAGGTAAAAAAATCACGTCTTTTGTTCTTCTATATATACATCTAAAAAAGAAGCAAAAAGGGGGAACAAAGTCGCAAAGCATCGAAACGCAAAAAGGGGAGGACTGAGGAGAAGCCGAACGGCATGAACCAATTCCGATTCATCCATCCAATCCAGGCCCCATTCGCAGGAGGACGCTGGCGGCGCATAGGACAAGAAGAGCGGAAAGGGAGGAGGAGGGCCGTACCCGCACTTGTCGCAGAGCAGGGCGAAGCCTCCGGATCGCAGCGGCCAGCCCTTCCTCCAGTCCCCTCCCGCCCCGACCACCGACGACGCCGGCCCGCCGCAGGCCGGGTTCATGCACCTCTTGGCCGCCGCCGCGCCGCCACCCGCCATAGCCATGGGCGGCCGGCGAGCACAGGCACTCCTCTGATCAAAGGTCAGCTGAGCAGGCTGAGCGCATCGCCCACGGAGAGAGCGAGAGAGTGAAAAAGGGACGGGCCGAGAGACGAGACGAGGCTAGAGGCGGCGGGGGAGGCGTAGCTTTCCGGTGGGTGTGGAGGGGTCAACGAAAGCGCGCACCCAGCCGCGGGCGGTCGCTGCTGGCGATTGGTGCATGCAGGTGCGGGGAAGACAAGGAATGGAATACGAGGGGGATCAGGAGGATGGATGGGGCGAGGTGAGCGATGAAGCCGTAGTGGTGGTTGTACTAGTAAACTAACAGCAACAGCCCATCCTCCTCTCGGTTTGTTCGGTTTCTCCTTAAATCTTTACGTACTGTCACATCAAATATTCGATATATATATATATATATATAATATTAAATATAGACTAAAAAAATAACTAATTATATATATTGACTACCTTATAATACAAATCTTTTAAATCTAATTAGCTCATAATTTGGTAATAAAGTGCTACAGTAACACATATGCTAATGTCGAATTAATTAGGTTTAATAAATTTAACTCGTGGTTTACTGACGAATTCTGTAATTTATTTTTTGATTCTGTAATTTATTTTTTTATTAATATTCGAATAACCTGTACGACGCCCCTAAACTTTACGCTCTGCGTGTAAACGCCACCTATCACTCCCTCGCAGGGAAGTTGCAGGTGGAGAATTTTTTTTATATATTTCTTCTGAAAAACAATTGGCAGGAAAGCAAAGTGATGGGTCCTTTTTGGGGCCGCTCTCTCTGCTCGGAGGCTGGAGCATGGCAAGCATGCACGCACGACATGGTCCGGTCTGCTGCTTTTTGTATTTCTTGCTGCGCTGGCCGGGGGAGACTCCGATAGATCCATCGCATGAGCTAGCTATAGCTAGCACAGCAGGAGTACTATCACAGCCAGCCAGCCAGCCAGCGTTGCGTGCTGTGCCTGTGCTGCGTTGCTCCCCTCCACGAACGACGACTTTGCTTGCCTGCCTGGACTGCAGGTGTGCCTGTTCCCGCAGGCGTGCAGCGTGCTACTACCTTTGCTGCCTGCCTTTTTTCCTGCACCATCGTCACGCTGCCTCTGATTCACGGTGGATGGATCAAGGATCATGGAGGAAAAAGAAAAGAAAAAGGAACCCGTGGGCGCCATTGACATCGACATGCATGCAGTGTTTCCGGGAAGAACGTATGCGAAGGGAACACTGTTCGGCTGGTATTAAAGCCGGTTAATAAATTGATTAAAGTTGTTTTATTATAAGAGGAAAATTCTATAGATTCTAGCTGATAAACGGATCAATAAACGCTAGCGAACAGGCCGACAGTGCAGTGCACGGCCTTCAGCTTTCATTGCCTCGCGCCGCGCCGGCCACCGCCGGCGCCATTGAAGCCACCTGATCCGCCTGGCTCGCCTCCGCACGAATCGTGTCGTAACGTCGCCTTCAGCTTCAGGCTTCAGCTGCTGCAGCTAGTACTAGTGCCAGCCTGCCAGGTGGGAACCCGAGCCTAGTAGCCTGAGCCGGCCGGCCGCACTGGCGTGGCGGCCCGGTCTCCGCTCACACGCGACACGCACGGCTCGTCCTCGTAGCGAGCGAAAACGTCGTGCTCGACGTGCGGTTTGTGACTTGTACTGTAGCCTCGGCGCGCGGCAGGCAATTCGCCGACTTCCAGTCCATGCGGTGGTGACGGGCGTGTGAGCGTGGTGGTGGTGGGTGTGGCTCGCCGCGCGCCTGTCGCCACGACGGCGACGTGGATGGACATGGGCGCCGCGGGGCCGGACCCTCTCCTCGGCGAGGCGTCCACATCGACGTCGCGCGCGGACTCGGAGGGAGTCTCTGCTCGGCGTGATCGTGAAGCTGCCAAGGCCAGAGCCTGCGTCGTCCGCTGCCGTCACTCGCTCGCGCTCGGTGGGAACGGTGCGCCGTCGGGTACCGGTAGAAAGCCGAGCGCACGCACCAGGTCACCAGGTGAGGAGTAGAGAGTAGTACAGGCTCGTAGCCGCAGGTCGCGGACGAACGAAGGCCCAAGGGGGGTTGGGTTCGGGTTACGTTACGTGCGGCCAACACGAGTCCCCGTCGCGGACAGTGACGGTGACGGCTCGGGGAGCACGGGTTTCCGGGCCCTCGTGGACGTGAGTGGACGACCCGTCGACCGAATCATGAGGATTGGAGGACGTTGAAGGGGACACCAGCTCGTACGTATACTACTCAGCCTACTCCTAGCTACCTACTCCTACTTCCGAGTAGTACTCTCTTCGTCCAAAACAAAACGCTATGGAACGGGTGCTGATCAAATTTAACAACTTTATAGAAAATATTAGTAATATTTATACAACTAAATAAATTTATTATAAAATATATTTTGTGATTTATATAATAATACTAATTATATATTATAGATATTTTTATTCTTTTATATATATAATTGATTAAAGTTAAGAACATTTGACTTCTCGAAAGTTAAGAATAACATTCTTTGCGAGTATGTTTTTTTTGTGCTTGTCAGCACGTGGGAACTAGAGAAGAGGAGGGCGAGCCGCCGATTATCGGGCCTCGTGGCAGCTTGTCGTTGCAACTGATGATTAAAGGTAGTGTTATCTAATACGCTAAACGGATAGCCACCCTTTGTTTAGAGTGTAGACGGTTAAAACGTTTTTGCACTGTAGCAGTAAATATAGGCCATGTTCGCTGGTCTGAACTTTGGCTGAAACTGGCTGAAAAACATTGTTCCGGCTGAATTGTTGTGAGAGAAAAACACTGTTCCGACTGAAAAAAATAAGCCGAACAAGCCAAATTTAAGACAAGCGAACGGGGTACATGTAAAATGTTATTTTTATACAAATTTTGAAATACAGTTTATTAACGGTAATGCTCAGAGCGAGCATCCGTCCAATGGGACGCCGCCTATCAGGTCCTGCACGCTACCGTACTAGCCCAACAAGTCACCCTCTCTATACGTCTTACCCATCTCTCTCTCACACACACAATATCTCCTGACTTGCTCGTCTATCACGTGCTTTTTCTGCGCCATGCGACCATTCGCCCACCCCACTCTGCATCGCCGTCGCAAAATCTCCCCGCGCGCCCCATCTTACGCCGTGCTGCCCCACTCCGGCTCACCGCCGCGCCACCCCACTCTAGCTCGCCGCTGCGGGCATCCCCATCCGCACCCCACTCCGCGCTCGCCTGTCGCGGCCACGACGTGCACAACGCCGCCAGGAGAAGGTCGTCGTCGGCTAGGACAACGTCTCCCGCAATCGGCCGAAGACACCACAACAAGAAAGAAGCGCATGTTGCAAGCGTAAGTTTCAAGTGTTTCTAATGTTTCAGAGGTATGTTGCAAGTGTTTCATGCGGATGTTGTAAAAGTAGATCAGGATGTTGCATATATTGCAATCGTTGTACACGTATGTTGCAAGCTTCTATTTCCGATGTTTCATTTGTTTTTTCAGACGTATGTTGCAAGTGTGTTTTTTATGTTGCATAGTCCCTCCATACCCGAAATTCTTGACGTCCTGGGCTCCCGTCGTGTTTTCGCAAAACCTGACGTTCTACGCTCGCTCGGCCGCGCTCGGATGGGTTTACCCCTGGCGCTCGCATCCGTTCCGCTCGCCACCGGACTCGACATTAATTGCTCGATGCCTTGTTTCTCTTGGTCGTCGCCCGTTCTCGGCTCTCGCGTACGAGTAAAGGCCGCTGCACGCGCCTCCCTTCCTCTCTGCAGCACCCGCCTCCCTTCCTGCTCGCTTCCTCTCCGCCATCATTTAGGGTTGGCCGTGCCGACAGCACGTTTAGGGTTCGCCGCCACGCTCTCCTACTCGCTCGAGGCCATGGAATCCGTCAAGGCGCAGCACTCCGTCGGCGCGCTGGACTTGGAGGCCATGAAGTCCGTCGATGCGCTCGTCTCCGTCAACGCGCTGGACTTTGATGTGGCCATGGAGTCCGTCGATGTTGTGCCGGACTCTGTCGACGTCGTCGTGCCGGACTCCGTTGAGCTCGTGTCGGACTCCGTCGACGTCGTGCCGGACTCCGTCAAGGATGTCCCAAACGACGACGAGGTCATGCACTGTCCTCGCTACGGCACGTTGCACGCTGGCGGCGTCTTCGGAGATGCTTGCTTCCAAGCTCGCCGGAACGCTCGCAGGTGTGCACGTTGTGGCCTTCTACATGAAGACTACGACATCTCAGCAAAGTGGCTCCATCTAATGGACAGGTTCGATTGCGAGTTCTACATTCCTGATGTGGCTAAACTTGAGATGGATGGTACTAGAATCATGTGCACTGATGAAGTTTTGAAGAAGGTGGATGAGCATATTAAGAAGCAGCAAACAAAGAGCACTAAGGTACAGTACATGCATCTCACAATTTGGCCATTGCAAACCTAAGATACACGCATCTAATAATTTGCATAAACTAACTTGCATCTTCTAATTTGTTTCAGGAAGACTAGCAAGTGCTTCGGCTAGCAATGAAGCTTCACAAGAGATTTGCAATGGCAGCCTATCTTCCCTCTCTAGTCTTTGTTTCTGCAAGTGAGGAATTTTTATATTGTTGCAACCTTTAAGCTTCATTGCTTCCTTCAAAATAGATTGTAGTGTTACAAAAATCCTGTTTGCTTTCCATGGACTGTACTCTAAGAATGCCTACAAAACATGTGTTCAAGAAATTAGATCTTCTAAATAATCTTTCTTGTATTGAAACAATGGAATGGATGATCATTTACCTGTTCGACTACTGGAATTAGATCTTTCATTGTCTTAGCATCTTTCTTGTATTGAATAGCTTGAATAGCTCGAAAAAACCCAAATCTAGAATGTTAAATCTGGAGAATTGGGTGGTTAACATATAAGTCGAATGTCAAACCCATCTTGCTTAGCAACCTCACAAAATTGAGGATCATCCACTTTGCTTGAGAGGAATGTTGCGCAGTTGTTCCAAATCAAGAGGGGTTGCTTTACGGCCACATCTACC